TTCCCGAGAGGCCCGAGCGCAGAGCACACACGTCAGCCCAGGGTTTTCAGACCTGGGGAGCGATACGTGATGACAGGGATGCACTGAGTATAGGGAAAAGCACTAGTTGACACGCTAGAGACACACAAAATGTTCCGTGTTCCAGGGTCAGTTGCACTGGGGAGCTACGCCACACCACCAGGCTAGTGGGATGTTGGGGGACAGGGAAGGAAAACCCAAGGCAGACAGTGAGGGGGTAGGCACGGCCGGCCGCACACTCGTGAACAATATGATAAGGCTTTCTGCACAGACGCCGGAAGTTCAGGAGTGCTCAGAGAACAGCAGGGGAAACAGAGGCAGTAGGAGAAGAGGCTGGGCAGGACGGCGGGCCGGAAGGTAGGAAGGAGTACAGCTGCTCAGAGCTCCCCGCCCCTTCCCACTCCACCAGCCATGAGGGTGCTGGCCCCATGCACAGTGCGGGACCTGATCAAGGCTCTACAGGGCTGTGCACCCAGAAAACGGGAGGGAGATCATCAACAGGAAGGGAAGGAGGCTAAGCTAGGAGTGATATTCAGGAAAGTTCCCCCCGGAACTCTGCAAACAGTGAGAGATCACACCTTACATCTCACCCTCAAGCAAGACTAGGAAACGGGAGGCTCAAACTGCCCTTCTCCACTGGCCAAAGCTCTGACAGGGCGGGACCGGCAAGGCTCAGGCTCCAGAACCTTGGGCAGAGCCACTGGGGAGGGGGATAAGGGGTGACAGAGTGAGTCGCTCTGAGCAGAGTGTCTGAGTACCTGCACCCAGCAACCCATGCCAAAGGGGCTCCTAACAGCACCCAGACTTTCTGCCGCCATCACCTGGAGGCAGCAGGAGTGGTGGCTGATGGGTCCCCCCAGAGGGCAGGGGGCCATGGCTGTGAAACCTGTCTGTCTGGCACTTAGCGAGGGAGAGGACACAGCTCCGAGCTCAAGGGTTCTAGCTTCCCGATGACTCCTGGGATGCTTACCGGGGAACCTCCTCACAGCAGTCCAAACTCCAACCACCCAGCCACGGAAACCCGAGCCAGAACAGGGCCCCATGGAAGCACCAGCTGCAGTCCGGGGACATCCCTGTCACTCTGCAGGCTAAGGGTAGCGCAGAACTTGGGAAATCTCCTTCTCTGAACAGCAACCCTTAGGCTTTTCATCCAGAATCTCCCTTCTACGGAGGAACTGCATGATTCCATGTAGCCAAGACCTTAGGCATTTGACACTGCAAACCAGGTTATATACAGCAGTTATTATAATCAAACAGAACCCGTCACCCAGGCCCAAGTTACTTTACCAATCAAAGCAGCCCCTGATGGCCCGGGACCCAGCTCACAGGACTAGAGCACATGCTTTGCATGCAGGGATGCGTCCCCAGCACCACGGGCTCCCCAATCACTGCAATGACTGACCTACCCCCCTGCCACCAGCCAACAATAACTGTCACACACACACACAAAGTTAACCAATAATGTCATTGCCGCTTCCTGTGGGTTGGAAGCAAGCCATCAGCATTTGCCACACGCAGAGCCAGCAGCTCCGTCTGGGTCTGGGATCGCAAAAGCAGCACCCTCAAAAAGTCGGCATTTTCTCCACTTTCTTTTCCCCTCCCAACCAGACTCACCAATTAAAAAAAAAAAAAGGCAATTTCTCAAAGATGAGGAATTGGGTCTTCTGTAAGAAGAGTTTTTTTTCCTAAATGGAAAGTGCTCATCTTTGACTAAAATCAACTCCAAATATAATACACACATCACCACCACCACCACCCCTCCCCTGTCCCCAGAGAAAGTGGGTAAACCACAGGGCAAGAACACTGTAACCTAAAGGGAAAGAGGGAAGGCCGTTACTTGGATAAATAGCAATATAGAAATAAATAAATTAATTTGGGTCCTTACCTGAAATGCTTAGAGCTTACTGATACACTTAAAACTCTCACAGTTCAATAACACCTTCCAGCTCTGTCACCCAAGCAACAAGTAGGACCAAACAGGATTTAAAAAGTTCTCAGGGGGCTTGAGAGATAGCACAGCGGGTAGGGCATTTGCCTTGCACGCGGCCAACCCGGGTTCGATTCCCAGCATCCCATATGGTCCGCTGAGCACTGCCAGAAGTAACTCCTGAGAGCAGAGCCAGGAGTAACCCTGTGCATCGCCAGGTGTGACCCAAAAAGCAAAATAAATAAATAAATAAATAAAACTTGAAAAAAAGTTTTCAGGATGAAATAAAGGACTGCTCAGTGACAAAGCAGCCTACAGACATGAAACAGTGAGTTCAATCAACCCTTTGCGACCCCAGCACCCCCTCTGGTTACCCCCCACACAGCAATACAGAGCATAACAGTGGCCCAAGAGATAGTACAGCAGGTAGAGCATTTTCCTAGCACACAGTTGACCTGGGTTCAATCCCCAACACCCCATATGGTCCCCTGAGTCCACCAGGAATGATACCTGAACACCTCTTAAAAAAAAAAAACAGGAAAACTGAAGTGTATTATCTGTAATCTCCAGCACTCCAACAAGCAAATGTGTGCAAGTACCACTACCAAGCATGCAACCCTTGCTCATTGCAGCAATAATTAAGAAAAAGGGGGATTTTTTAAAAAAATTCCATCCTACTTATAAATGCTGCAAGCTTGTGGGTAATTATTTAATTATAAAGTATAAAACATGAATGTACGTGCCAGGATGCAGAGTTGTCTGCATTAGGAAAGCCCAGCAGCAGGTTAGAAATAAAAAGGAACATTGGCCTGTTTGCACAACATACCAAAACCAGGACCGCATCTCCAAGAAACACGGTGAGTCTCAGCAGCAGGCCCTGCTCCCCTGTGTAATGTATGATTCATGTGTAGACTGACAATCCAGCTTAGCCAGTGGGGTGACAATGGTGAGGAAACACAATTGCTTCTCATAGGAAATGCAAACATTTCAGTCTTCCAGAAAGAACAACAAATGCTCCGAACACAAATCGCCAAGCTACTGAGTCAGCCACAGAATTTAAGTTTTAAAACCCTCAGAAATGCCCAACAACTAGAAACTTATTAACAGGGCAAGGCACAAACCAGGAGCCCCAGGGAGGAACCCTGATGAATTCCTTCGGGATTAGCTGTGCCAAACCCTCACACCCACAAAGCTCCTGAAGAAGAAGAAGAAGAAGAAGAAGAAAGAAAAACTATCGTCCCCAGATCTTTCCCTGCTGAAACAGTTTTGTGCAGAAAACCACGCGCTGGCACTGTTAGCCGAAGTCCCAGGAATGCCTCGCCCCCAGCAACTGGCGGCGTGCAACCTATCAAGCCTAGCTCAAACTCAGGTTGCGTGTCTCCACGGCCCCAGAACGCTCTGACTTTAAAACTGATTTTCAAATTCAGGGCCCCGAAAATTAAGGACTCGCTCGACTGTCCACTCATTTCCTATAATACAGCAGTTAATGATTGTCGGATGAAGGACTTTGGTACGGTGCTGGCGTATTCCGCGGTGTCGCTCGGATGACACCACACACGCACTAGGTGCAAGTAGGCTTCGGCTTCCTAAAGGCGGCTCAGGTATTTCTCCCAGCACAAGTTCCTGGTAACCGGCTTCAGAGAAAGCCCGAGAAGGTGGAGCCGCGCAGGCTCCTCCCAGGACTCCCGCGGCTCAATGCGGGTGGGGAGCTTTCCTCGAACCGCGAAGGTCGCCCCTGCCCCGCCCCCCTCCCAGCTCGCCCCTCACGCCCGTCCCGGCGCCCACCCAGGGGAAGTGACCGCCGGCCTGGTCCGCGGTGGGCGTGGGGCAGGTGTCGCGAGCAGCTGCAACCTCGCCCCCAGCCAGGTTAGAGCCTTCCGCAGCCCCCGCATCCGTCCCCACGGCTCGGCCTGGGTGCCGCTCTGGGAGCAGAGCAGCCGGACTAGAAAATTCCTCCCGGAATGGGGGTGGTGCGGTGCCCCGGGCTCTCCCACCCGCACGCTGACACCAGGTGTGGGTGGGGATGCGGAAGTGGCTCTTCCCCAGCCAACTAGACCTGTTGGCCGGCAGGTGTGTGTGTGTGTGGTGTGTGTGTGTGTGTAGGGGGGGAGGGTCTCGCACACCCACCCCGGACTTGACTCTGCCACGCGCCACGCTCGGGCGCTGCGGGCCACGGGGACACGCACCCGAGTCACCGTCCAAAGCTGAGAGTGGGGTGCAGAGGGGCCCGAGGTCCCAAGGTCCCTGCACGCCCCCGGCCCGGTGCAAGTTGAGACCGGACGGCCGCAGCGAGGCCGAGCTCTAACTTGAACCCGGGTCTCCGCGCCACCGCCGCACCTGTTCCCGGCTCCCAGGACCAGGGCGCCCCGCACATCCCTTCTGACCTTGAGGGCGCCCTGAAAATACACATTCCCGGGTCCGCGGCGACCACCCCCGCGCCCGGGACCCTTCCGCACAGTCACTGAAGCCCACCGCAAGTGGCCAGTAATGCCCCCCGCAAGTGGCCAGTTCCGGGCCAGTGTAAGAGCGCGCTCCCCTGCGGGATACCCAGACGCGCCCCCAGCATCTTCCCCCGCGTCGCCCAGGGTCCCTGCAGCCTCCTGCCAGGGCGGGTCCTCCTCGTCCGCACCCCAACTTCAGAGCTCCCCCTCTTGTGCCCACGGGCGCTCGCGCTGCAGAACCTCCCGTGAGGAGGGTATGGGGTGCCTGCGGCGCGCCGGGCGCCCCCCAAGTCCCCGCTGGGCCGTCCCCAGGCGGCCGGGCCCCGCGCTCCCCGCTCCTCTGCTCCTGGCGGGGAGGGGGCAGCGGAAGGTCCCGGGGGGGGGGGGGGGGGGGGGACAGAGCCGGGACCCGGTGAGCAAGGGGAGGGCGTGGGGAAGGTGGCCGGGGGCGCGGCGCTGAACGATCTCTGCCGCCACCCCACCCCACCCCCCAACCCCGGGAGACGCTGCGGGGCGCTCCCCGCGCAACCCAGCCAAACTTTCTCGGCCGCCGAAGTTCGGGGCGCGGGGCACGGTCCCCCGGCGCTGGTCCCACCTGGCGCGGCCGCACTCACCTGGCTGTAGAGTTCGCTGAGCGACATGACCCCCGCGGGTCCGGGCCCGAGGCCGGGGGCGTCGCGCCTGGCGGGCGGCGGGGCGCGCGGGGCGCTCGGGGCCGGGGCGCGGAGGGGCGCGGGAGGTGGAGGGGTGGTGGGCGCGGGGCTTAGTGCGCGGCCGGTGCCCCTGGCGCCATCTTCCCGCTCCCACACTTTCCCGGGGTGACCGGCTCGGCACCCGCTTCCTGGACTGGACCGACGCGGCGGCCGCTCGCTCGGGCCCGGCGCGACCTTTAGTCCGGCCGCGGCGGCCGGGAGTGGCGGGCGGGGGAGGCGGCGCCGCGCCCCGCGCAGGTATGGGAGGAGCGGCGCGGCGCGGACAGCGGCCGGGCCCGAGCGCCGCCGCCGCCACCGCCGCCACCGCCGCCGCCGCCGCCCGGGAGCCTTGCCCCGCAGCGCCCGCCGCGCCCTCCCGCGCCCCCGCCGCCCCCGCCGCCAACGCCGCCCACGCCGCGGGCTCCCCCGGGCCGGGGGCGGGGCCGGCCGAGCCGCGCGGGCGCCCCCTGCCGGCCGCCGCGCGCGCCCCCGCGCACAGGTGCGCGCCAGGTGTGAGCACCTGCCGGCGCGGCGCGGGCGGAGAGGAAGGGCGGGCGCGGGGGGGCGGGGCGGGGCGGGATGGGAGGGAGGGGTCTTCGGGAGCGCCCCAGCTCCCCCGCCTCAGCGCTGAACCGGGAGGAGCCCCCCACCCCAAACGAAAGGAGGCGTGTCTGAGGCTGACCCGCCCCCGCGCACTGGCGATTTTTTTCAACTTTATCAGGGATTGGGGAGTACGGGGAAGGGCGGGGAGGGTGGGAGGCGATCGGGAGTGAAGCCTGGGCCGCGTGCACCGAAGATGCTGGGCCCCTGAGATGCAGCCCTCAAGTGTCCAACCCTCGAGGTTTTTCATTATTTAAATTCAGGTACGGGGGAGAAAAAAAAATTCAGGTACGGGAGCAAAGCCGAGGTGGTTTTTGAAGGGCTGCAGCACTGAGTTGCATCCCCTCCAGCACTGCCTGGTCACCACCAGCACTGAGCATCGCGTGGTTGGGCCGCAAAAGAAAAATTACAGTCAGTTCCGACGTCGACGCTGTGGTTAAGGTGGTTTGTGTCGTCCTCTGCATGAGATGCTCGTCAGAGAGCCGCTACCCCAATGAGGACCACTGGCTTTTCTGGGGTGTCTCACCTGCTCACGCCCCTTACTGCGTTCCTTTTTTTGGCCCCTCTGCCTGTCACGGGCACTTGGCTGCCTACACCATCGTTTAGTCTTTACTTTCAGTAAAGAGCAGAGATTTCAGCTGAAAAGGAAAAACTGGTCAGAGTTGTGAACGAGGTACAACCGTGACTTTTGTTTCTGAGTGAGGGCTGGTTTGCAGCCAAAGGGTGGTGGATTCAGGGACTGAACTACCTCGCACCTCCCTGGACAGGGGTTCTTAAGACCCTCTGCTTGGGCTGCAGTCACCTACAGTGTGCACCCTGCAGGGCCTTCACTCTCTTGCCTCCTGCCTGGGCATTCGCTGGGGACTTCTAACAGCTCAATCACTCCTGAGCTCGGGGCTCTTGGGGAAGGTGGGACTGCATATCTGAATCAAGTTTCTTCCAGTGTTCTAAAGGCTGGTCTCGTGGGGTGGGCAATGCAGTGAGCCAAGTGCAGATCCGATGGGGCTCTCACCCTCCCTAACCTGGTGAGAAAGGAAAGAACCCAGCATCCCCGGCAGTCAGCTGCCTCTCTGTGGTCCGTTCACCTGTGTTCCAGGACTTCCTGAAATGAGTTCCCTCCAGCAACAGCCTTGGGAGACATACAGAAACACAGATCCTGCCACCTCTGCTCAGACCTGCAGAATCAGAATGGCCAGGATGTGCCGGCACCCATTGGGAGTAGAGGTTCCCTGTTTTATTAGTTCTTCCAGTCCTTCCCAGAAAAAAAAAATTGTTCAGCAGCATGCACTTGGAAATCTACCTTCTTAAAGTGAACCAAGAGCCAGGCTGGGTCGATAGCACAGTGAGTAGGGTGCTTGCCTTGCACGCGGCCGACCCAAGTTCGATTCCCAGCATCCCATATGGTCCCCAGAGCATCTCCAGGAGTAACCCCTGTATGTCACCGGTATGACCCAAAAGGCAAAAAAAAAATGAACCAAGAGAAAGCATCCCCCACAATGGCACTTGAAGCCATTACCATCATCCCTCACAGAGTTCCAGTGCCCCCTGGGCAGACAGTATCACCAACTTTGGAAAACACTAAGAGTGTCCCCTGGGGATGCCAGGCCCCCATGCAATGACTCAACCCGCACCTCTGTCCTGCTCCCTTTCTTCACGTCCTGTGCCATCAGGCATCCCCTGCTCCTCACTGGACTTTTGACTTTTTCTCGAGGTGGTGGTCAGAGCTGCTGGTGGCCCTGCTGTCCCCATCCCTCTATAAACCACTGCTTCCCCCAACTTAGAATCACCCCCATAAAAACCACACATGATATTCACCCCCAGAAAGTCTGATTGGACTCGCCCAGGGTGCTGCCCTGGCAAAGGGACCCTGAAGAGCACCTGGAGGGTCTAAGGATGCTACGGCTCTCACACCTCCACGCCATCTACCCAGCTTCTTCCTCTGAAGCATCCAGTGGCCATCAGCTCCACAGTGGCCCTAGGAGTCACCTCCCTGGGCATCTGCCGCTGGCCTCCTCTTTTCCTGTCTCTGCAGCCACACCTGCTTCTGTCCTTCTCTGCACCAACTCCCCATCCTGGTCCCTACATAAAAGTGTGACCCATTCCTCAGACCTTATCTTTCTTCTCCTCCACACCCCGTTTCATCTCAGACTGCCTCAGCAATGCACACATTACATTCAGACTTGAATTGAGACTCATCTTCCCACTTTCCAGAAAGGCAGTGCAAAACCTCGTGGACCAAGCAAGAACGATTTGTTTCCATCCCTGCATCCCGCCCCGATCTACTTCCAAGGTTTTGGCTCCCCTCACACTGGCTCAAGCCAATTAAAAGCTCACATTTCCCTCCGGACTAAATCGCATCCCCAGGGAGAAAACCATTCCCGGCCACAGTGCTGCAATGTTTAATCCACCCACCAGACGTGGACTCCCCTTCTTTGGTTAATCATAATAGAGCCATGGAAAACTTGGTGCCAAGAAAGACACCACATCCTCTACTTCCACGCTCTTGCTTGAGCAACAGAGCAACCCAATAAAGGAGGTTTGAATAATAAACCCATTTCACAGATGGGTCAAGAGAGGCTAGGGAAAGCATTCTACAACAAGGGAAGCTCAGGGCTGTGTGTGGAGTGAAGGGCACTAATACAGAGGGCTCACAAATGATCCTCAAGCTGCCATGTCTCGCATGTACCCCTGGTGTTGTCAGGATACTCTGTTAAGAAACTGAGCTCTGTGGGGCTGGAGCGATAGTGAAGTGGGTAGGGCGTCTGCCTTACACACGACCAACCCAGGTTCAATTTCCAGCATCCCATATGGTTCCCTGAGCACCGCCAGGAATGATTCCTGAGTGCAGAGACAGGAGTGACCCCAGTGCATTGCTGGGCATGACAAAGAAAGAAAGAAAGAAAGAAAGAAAGAAAGAAAGAAAGAAAGAAGAAAGAAAAGTAACTGTGCTCTGTGCTCTAATTTCTGGGACCACAGCTAATGGCTGGCTGGTTTCCTGCCTGCCTGGCAGCCTTCCCGTTACTTAGAAAAGAAGAACGTTGCATTTACAGAACCATCATGTGCCCCTTTTCTCAGGAGCTGCTTTCAGTGTTCCCTACATTAAATGATCTCGTCCCCCTCTCTCCTCACCCCATACCCAAGGACCTTGAAGGCGGGAAGCCCCCCTGCCCCCTGCTGCTGCCTCTGCCTCTCCCAGCACAAGGCCTGAGCAACACAGATCTCAAGAAACTGCAAGTGCAGGTGCCTGTGCTGACCCTTGGGGTTGCTTCGAGCAAGTAAGACCCAGCAAAGGTGGTGGGATGTCACTTCCATGATGAGACAGGCAAGCAAGGAGAGACTCGGGGTGACCTTAAACCAACAACCCTTGGGAAGAGAACCCCAGCCCCACCCCACAGACAAGGATGTGAACTTGGAAGCAGCGTCCCTGTCATGGGATGCCCACAGCCCCAGCGGACGCTGGCTATACCCGGAAGCCCTGAGCCACAAAGGCTGTGTCTAAAAGATATAAATGACGACGAGTCTGAGCCCAAGGAAGCTGGGACAACAATTGCATGCTGGGTGAGGTGGCTGTGAGGTGTGAGCGGTGGCATGGACCATCTCCTGGAGGGCTCCGGGGTCACCTGCCCTGCCCCTCCCCCACTTCCCAAGGCCTCCTAAGATGCACCTTTGAATTGTATCTCCCAAGATTGAAGGAAGCCTGTTTCCAGACCCCCAAATCTCCACATCAATCTCCCACTTAAATCTCCTCAGCACGTTTTTTGCCCAAAATCTATATAAATAAATAAGAAGAGAAGAAGAAACAGATGAGCAGATTATTCTCATGCTCATTCTCAGACCCACCTTCTCTCTCCTCCCATCCAGCCAAAGACACCTTTCAGCACTAGAGAGATGGTACAGGCCCCAGGAGTTACTCCTGAGCACCGAGTCAGGAACAGGACCACCCAGCATGGCAGAAGAGGAAGGAGGAGGAGGGCAAGAGGGAGGAAGAGGAGGGGGAGATGCTTTTTTCAACCATCCTGCATGTGGGGGAAGGAGCCTCCTGAATCCCAAGCAAAATGACACTAGAAACGGGACTTGAGCAAGCAAGTGGTTGTGATGAAGAGGTCCTGCGTTCCGTGCTGAGGCTGTTTCCCTTCCAATCCCAGTAGCACCAGGAGTGCTGATCCAGCGTCAGCTGATGGATTATTAAAAATAATCCTCTGATGGCTCACTATGTAACTTGGTGGCAACTCGGAAAGAATGCAAAGACTGAGGGACATTCTTCCAACAGCCTCCTTTCTTGTTTCTCATGTCAACAAACACACAGCCCCTGCGTCTTACAACAACAGGAGGAATTGGTTTTTCAAGGTGTACAATGGTATCAAACACAAACAAACACTGTCCTCCCGTTGTCCATCGATTTGCTCGAGCAGGCCCAGTAACGTCTCCTTATTTTTTCTTTTTTGAGACTTGTTGTTACTGTGTTTGGCATATTGAAAACATCACGGGTGGCTTGCCAGGCTTTGCCACACAGGCGAGATATTCTCAGTAGCTTGCCGGGCTCTCCGAGAGGGGCGGAGGAATTGAACCCGGCTCGGCAGGGCTGGCTGCCCGCAAGGCAATACTGTCTTTCTTCAGGTGCTTGAAAATCAACTACATGAACAAGAGATTCGTCTAAGCCTGCTTAACAGGGACTGGGGGATGGGAGGGTGGGAGGGGTGCAG